TGTTGAAGAATTTAGAAAATTAAAGATATCAGTTATTGCCCAAGTGATCCGAGAACTCCTCCTAGACAAGCCAAGAAAAGCTGGACCTTAAAGATTAGATGGAATTTGACAGAAATAAAGGAAAAGAAAGGGCTTTTCAAACCATTTAAATGAGGTAAAGAAACATGAATGAGAATTTCATGTTTAGAACACACTAAGAAGATAAATTCACTTGAAAATGTTGAGATTAGGAGTAGATGGTCAAGCTCTATCAATCACAAAAGAAGATAAATCTAACCCATGTGTTTGGAATATTCGTAGTCAAAGGAATCTTAGTAAAATCAGAAGGCACATTTGTTTAGCATAGGGAGCTGGGTCATATAGCCCAACTTGATTGGGGAAAGCCCTGACCTACCAGGATGTATCCAGGCCAGAACTGGGAATAAAATGGCTTTGCCTTGTGTAGGTTGGAAGAGCAGGACCAGACATCATTCTGGGCAGGGGATAGAGCAGACCCAAAGTCAAGGTTAGTCAGTACAAGGCCAAGTAATGCCAAGTGATGGGGTTTCTGTTTTCAAGAAGTTTACAATTGAAACAGGCCATTAAATCCTTCAGATTAACAGAGATTTTTTGTTCTGTGAGGGATGATGCTATGTAAGGGGGAGCAGTAGGGTAGGGAGGTAGAGGGAAAACTCTATATAACCATTTCAGATCTTAATATTCATCAGCTCAATTTTGTCTTCCTTGAGTTAACTGGAGGAACATAATAATTTATTGAACAGAAGACAACTAATTTTGCAAGCATAAGATATTTTATGTAATGAAGGTCTGCTTGGATGACCAAATTGTATAAAGAAGGTACCTAACATGGGAAGAGAGAGGAGAAGAGTGTTGAACCAAACAAAAATGCACGTCATTAATAATTACAGAAATAGCAGAGATTTGACAATCAGAAGTCCCTGGATGACCCTTGAGAGAGCATCATGGTGTGCTGTAAGCCTTGGAATAGCTAAGCTATTCATTCAGAAACTTGGCTTTTATATGGACTCTTGGGATTTAGCATCCGAACTATCACTGAGAAGACAACACAGTGCTGCATATATATTTTTCTACTTTCTTTAAAGGTCCTTCTCGATGACAGCACCATCAACATCGCAACCATTGCCTCATCACGTTACGTGGGACCACTGAAAACTCGAGTGGATGACTGGCAAAAACAACTTGCTTTATTTAATCAAACACTGGTGAGTAAGGATAATTTCAGTTCATGGACTTAGAGAATTGAAGAGTCACAAGGACCTTAGAAATAATTGGTTTCATCATATGAATATTATATAGTTTAGGAATGTGAGATTTAGTTGTTGATATTTTATTATGGGCAGAATGTAAGGAAAATGCACGTGTTTCAAGCTCTTCTTTACATAATTGTACAGCTAATTGTTATTACCCTAGTACTGTATTATTATTTTGCTATGAAACAAAATACCACAAACTTAACATACATTTATTAGTGGCTTAAAACTGTATATATTTGTTATCTTACAGTTTTTATGTGTCAGTAGAGAGTGGAGTGAAATCAGGCTGAGGTGAGTTCTGAGACCCTTTAAGGAAGTTTCATTTCAAAGGACTTGTGAGCAGCTATAAAACAGCCCCCAAGGAAAAAAATATTGTGATTTGCCATGTAATGATTTTTAATGTAACCATATGTTTCCAATTTGGAAGTTAAAATTTTATAATGTCCATATTTTTCTCTTAGGAAGAGTGGCTGACATGCCAGAGAAACTGGCTCTACCTAGAAAGTATTTTTAATGCTCCAGATATTCAGAGGCAATTGCCTGCAGAGGCTAAGATGTTCCTTCAGGTGGATAAGTCATGGAAAGAAATCATGAGGAAAGTGAACCGGCTGCCTAATGCTCTTCGAGCTGCTACTCAACCAGGTATAAAACAAAAAAATTTTAAACAAACAAATGAAAAGGCTTTACAATCATCTAAATTGTCTGTCATTTATAAGAGTCTAATAGCATGTGGTACATTCAACCATCGATTCTGGTCAGCAGTAATGACTAGGAATATTTGCATTTGCTGTTCTTGCTAAGTAATATGAATTAAATATTGTACTTTTATTGTTATCTCTCAGCTTAGTTTGTAGTTTGGGAACACAAGAATATGCATCTTTTTTGCTGTTTTTATAATTTGGGGATGTTGCCACAGAGTATCAGTGATGTCTCCATCTCACAGTTTTGAATACAAGACACACGTTTACATTCAGTTGACCCATTCTGTTAAAGCTCCCCACAGATTGGAACCACAAACGTGTCCACATCTTATTTTAAATTAATTCCTTGAAACTAGTTTAAAGTGTTTTCATTCATTGCAATTCTAGTCTTAAGACTGAAATGTGTTTTAATAAGTTCTGTTTCTATGGATCCGCATCAAAGTCAAAGTCTTTCTGGGCACGCACATGTTGCTGTTGGGTTTCATGCTTGGTATCGAAGCCTTGGCAAGCTTGCTCGTTGTTCAGCAAGTGGCAGCACATGGCCTATCCTGGTGAATGTCCCCAGACAGCTTCCCTGCCAATCACAGGCAGCTTCCTAGGCTGTGTTCTTTGCCCAAAAACTGTTGCAGAAGACAGAAACAGTAGGGAAAGACTACGTGGAGTGAAAGAATTGAAAAGTCTTTGGGGCTTTTAGAGGCTGTCCACACTCAAGACCCTCTTCCATCCAGCAAGAGCGTTACGCCAACATCTGCTTCTGTCGTCACATCTCCTTTCAGCCTCTGACCCTCTTGTCTCCCTCTTATAAGGGCCCTTGTGATTATATTGAGCCCACTGGATGACCCAGGATAATCTCCCATCCCATGATCCTTAACTTAATCACATCTGCAAAGTTACTTTTTTAATAGAAACTAATATATTCAAGGTTTGGGGGAATAGGACATGAACATCTCTGAGGAGCCATTATTCTGCCTACCACACCCATCTAATTGTCATATTCAAACCTTTTGCTACAAAAATATTAGTATGTTTGACTACAGAGTTCTGTCCCAGTCCCTATTAGATTTGTTATAAAATTTAACTTTGAGATTTTTTAAAACTCTGATTCCAAAGTAAAACTAGTCCTAAGGACTTCAGATAAAGAAGTATAGACTTGTTTATATGGCTTCAGGCAACGATAAAGCTATGAAAAATAAAGTAGGATAAAGGGGTTAAAGAGTGGCTGGGGAGCCACTGTGTGTGTGTGTGTGTGTGTGTGTGTGTTGTGTGTGTGTGTGTGTGTGTGTGTGTGTGTGTGTGTAATAGAAGCTTTTTTTGATACAGTGGTCCTTGAGCAGAAACCTGGGAATGAGGGAGTGAAGAAGGGAGGGAGCGAGGCATGTACGTGGATCTAAGAGAGAGAATTGCTAAAGGCAGAAGGAGGAACAACAGACAAGGCTCCTGAGCTGAGAGCATG